AAAAAAATGGTCATGCTGGACCATGAGAGTGGACGAAAAGCGCGCCGGTCCCTCGCGGCGGCTTTCCCGCAAAACGTCATGGTCGTCAATGGGTTAAGTTATCCTTCCCTAACGATTCACATAATCAAGCTGAAATCTATGAAAAGCCCTTTAAAGTCCTGCTGTCACCAAATTGAATGGAATAGGAGATGGCGTAATCAATAGACTTAATCACGGCTCATCTAACAATAAGTAGCTGGGAGAGCGAATCCTCGGCTTTAGCAGATTCGTATTCGTAGTAGATAATATCCTCGAGAACAATCAATAAATTAGGCAGTAGAAAAAACAAGCATGAACAGAATAATAATAGTAGTAACGTAATAGTAATAACAACAATAATTACGACAATAATAATAATCGTAATAGTAGTAGGCTAGATTTGATCCAGGTACCGTTAACACTGCTTTCAAACTCTCGGAAGATGCTTCTCGGTTTGCCATTTCCAAGTAGCGAAAGCAGAAAAACAAATATTTTGAAAGTACCCACAACCTTTTGATTCGAACTAACGGACCATTATAAACCTGGAGAAAAGACGTGATCTTCANACAAATATTTTGAAAGTACCCACAACCTTTTGATTCGAACTAACGGACCATTATAAACCTGGAGAAAAGACGTGATCTTCAGAGATGGACCTATCCTTTTTTGTTTTGGACCGCATGTTAACTTGGGCTGTTTGCATAGGACACAGTCATGCACGAGGGTTTCGAACATTATGTATCGTACGAATCTGTTCTATGCAAACAGCCCAACTTAATGTGCGTGACCACATATGTGGGTTCACGTCATAAAAGACTTCAGGTGATGGGGCAATAAGCTGCCTATGAAAGCCTGGAAATGGGGCAATGCTGAGCCGCCTGGTAAACTAGGAGTCATGAAAAAAAATTAAATCTCAAGAAAGAGGAATATTTTGGAAACAGGTTTTTGGAGTAAAACAGTATAAACAGGATTCAAATGCTTGAAAAATTAAGTGAGAGCAGCACACCCTTGCTTCTCCATCTGACCCAAAGCTTTCCAGGTAATCGACACCGACCAAAACCAGGAATTGGACGCCGAAAAAAGGACCGTACGCGTTGTAAAGTATGACGGAAATGGCCTGGGAATCAGTATCAAAGGTGGACGAGACAACAACATGCCCATTATTATCAGGTACTTCCAGAAAAATTGCAAACACTCCTTCAACCTAATTAGACTTCGTTTTTAGCAAAATCTTCAAAGGAATGGCAGCAGATGCCACGGGAGAGCTGTTCGTTGGAGATACAATCCTCGCTGTGAACGGGGAATCACTCATAGATGCCACACACGATGACGCTGTACGAGCTCTGAAGAGGGCTGGCCGAGTGGTCGACTTATATGGTAACGGGAACGGATTAAAATTTCTGACGTTTCGATGATGCTCAAAGTGTAAGTTCAGTACAATACAAAAGGGATGAAGTAGTCCGACGGGAGAACGTCGTTGAGAAGATCGAGTGGGATGACGAAACACGTGACAGAATCCGAGCCATCGGATTAAAACTTGCGTGCGTTGCTCGTGCTGGAGTTGATGCCGACGCCGAGGGCAGGATATTTGAGGTGAATGAAAGATTACTCGAAATGACGATGACGAGTTTGCTCAAAGAATAGGGTTACAGATGCGAAGTCCGTCTGGCCGTTACGCTTTGGCTTTTCGTTGTACCACTTCAGTGGAAGCCGATTCATGGTTCGAGGCAATTCATGGTTGCGCCAATGCACTACTAACACAAGCACTAGCTCAGGTGGAGTACTTATCACTCGAAAATTCATTCCTACTTGATGCACTCCTGCTCCTGCTTAATCTAGCGATTTAGGTGAATCTCATGCTTGGAGGACACCCACAAGTACGGCGAATGGGCTGGGTATCGGAACAGGTAAGGACATTTATAGAGTCTAACTTGTACATTTATTTAATTTTATTTGATTATTTGAAGAGTGACGTGCCATAGCACGCAGTATCGAATACTGTATCTGTACCCACCCGGGCGAACCAAGCCTTCCATCCCTCGAAGTCGGTTGATTGCTGCCAGACTCGTCTAGGAGGATGAAGGCATTGACTAATTCCTTGGCTGGCCTTTGTATGACATGGTATAAGCCACTTAGCCACTCAAAACGATGTTACGATTCTGAATGGAAGTCGAGTGCGGGGCGCATACCAAAACGGGTCTAAGCACCGCAAAAAAAAACTTCTGCCTTTTTTATTTATCCAATTAGAGTGCACAAAAGCATTACTTCCTGAACGTGTAGCTCGTTTGGACATACTTTACTCTTGTTAATCGCCTTGTTTTCGAAACGAGTAAACGACGCTACCCTGATGACCGCCCGTGACTATACAACCACCCATTACGAGGGTTCAAAAACATGAGGGAATCCCCAGTAATTGCATTCACCTGCTTAAATGGACTCGATGCTTATCTCTCATACAGATAAAAAAGAAGTTTTCGCAAAAGGAAAAAAAGAAAAATCGGAAGTTTTTAAATGCACAAGGAAAAAATCCTGAAAGTCCACCGATTTTTTTTTCGTTCCGTACTAACCTTCCGCCAGAGAAACGACTAGATTACCGAACTTGGGAAAGTCTTCAGCGATTACATCGGAAGTTATTTGATGCGGAAAACCTCGAAGGTTTTTACTGGACTGCCATTGCCATTCCATGTATTCAACCTTGATAATAGCCTTTCAAAACGACTGGCAATTTTTGAAGCAATTTTCCACAGAATCAAACGGAAGAATTTGAAAAATACTGTAGAAAAATGCCGGTTCAATTAAACATAAGAAAAATCCCAGGAACTCAATAAGCCATTTCCGCCTAACAAAAGAGCACCTGCCTTCTCATAATATTCATATTAAAGAAACATCTGCTTTCTCAAAAGTCCCATGCCTTGTTCAACTGGAATTTTTCCAGTGCTCTGCTCTCATATAAATCATCCAGACGGGAAGGGGGTCACTTTCTTCCCTACAATCTCGGGGATCGCGTTCCACTTCATGCTAGCCAATACTCTTTTTCGAGGTGTCTAAAGTCGAGTAACGCGCTCAAGTGTTAGGCTACCCGACTTAAACATGAGCTCACCGACGTCAAACGAGATCAAGGCCCATATCATGACCTTCTAAATACAACTATTAATCTGAATGGGAGTCCATGCATGACACATTCCAACTCATCAAGTACCATCTTTCTATACGGTGATATGGAGTCCTATCACAGTCTATCAAGTTTTCTGCAAGAGAAGATTTGCAGAAGACTTCTTAGAAACCCGTTATCTGGAATTCAGTTTTATCTTTTATTTCCCGGGCGAACTTCCTCGTCTGTACTTTCATATCTTGCTATTCTGATAGGATAATGTGAACGCAAGAAGACATAAATTTTGTCCGCGGCGCTTTCCCATTGTGCAGCGCAAACTTGATATTCAATGGCCTTCATGGTCGCTAGGCGAACAGCTATTCAGACAAGTGGGAACAGAATTCACAACGAAGCAGAAGTCCTTCATCCCTTTACCAAGAAAACTCAGGGACTGAGTGTGGGGAGGAAAAAGTAGAAAAAAGTCAGTTTGTTTCACTTCCTTGACGCCGAACATAATTCAGGCATCCAAGTAAATTCAGAATCACTGATTCTTTTGGTTAAGAGAAGGATGATTAGCCTAAACATTCACATCACCTTAGAGATAATCCCTTGAGCGAATTGCGTAGAGGATCAGCCCTATTCGGGATTAGCATAGCTCGACCATCGAGTGATATAGCCGCTTAGGGAGGATCCAGAGGCCACATGTACCTTCGACGTCATTTCTTTGAAGCCGTATTCTGACGAACTTAATAAACCAGCCAGATAATCGATACCACCTTCTTACGTATTTTGAGAGTCAACTTCGTAATGTTCATGACTGGTTTTTTTTCCTCCTAGACTGATGAAACTCTCGCAGAAATGTCGAAAATGACCTATGAAAGGCGACCCACGCAATTCTCTGATCACAGCAGCAGTCAGTTGTTGAAGACTATTAATCTTGAGGGTGACAGCTACTCTGAAGTGTTTATAGTACTACCCATGACGCAGTATCTAATGGCTCTGCGTCAGAGGTAGCACTATAAACACTGCCTTTCCACACTTCACGGAATCCACTGGCTAGACGAGCCGGATATCTATCCACTTAGCTTGAAAGACTCGTAAGGAAGTTGCCTAAAAAGATTAAAAACCTGTCTAGCAGATTGTTTGCCTTCACCTACATTGACAACTATGGAACGAGGTGGAGTGATAAGTCCTTTCAACAACTTCCTCGACTGAGGGGTTTCTTATGACCCCAATGACAGTTGTGACGTCTCATGAGTTATTACAAGCCTTAAAAACGGTTCTAAATATTGAATAAATACTTAAATAATAAATTAATACGAAGTGTCATCGGTGTTTTGCCAAAGACGGAGACAGTGGTTGGAAGCTAAAAGAAAAACGCGCTTTGCGATCAAAAAAGGATCATATTTCTTCGTAAGCATGATGCATCCAAAATTCCCGTAAATTTGTCGAGGTGGTTAAGTGGGGAATCGGTTCATTCGATTGTTAGGTCGTAGGTAATTCACGAAAAAGTGTTTTGGTGTTTTCAAACCAATTCCTACCAAACAGTTGACTCCAGAAGGTCGGCAGAATAAGGTTTATCTTAACTATGCCAACATATAAGCGCCACTCCTCTCTTTGGCTTTTCAGCTGGAATCTTTGAATAAAAGAAAGAATTCTCCTCAATATGAGAAATGTGAAAAAACGTTTAGGTCAACGAAGATGGTATCCTAATGTGGAAGCCGAAATTCCTGACCCTAACTCAAAGCGAGCTATTATTCTACGAAGCGGTGCCACAGATGAAGACCGAATGGGCAGAGCCACGCATTACACGACCTTTGGTTGCCACAAGGGTTGTACAGACGACTTCACGGACAGCTCCAGTCATGAAGGGTGAGCGAGTCAGAAACTTTCCCTGATACGACACAAGCCCCAAAAATCCTACAGAGATCTTATTGAAGTCCTTCAGGTCTATCTGATGTCATATCTCTTCGAATACGAACGGGAACTCAGAATGGAGTGCGAACGCATACATTACGCGTAGAAACTCATGCTGATCTTGCTCAATGGGTCCGAGCGATCGTACTAGGAACCTACGAAGCCTGTTCAGAGACATCTCAGGTGAGTATGTGTTCTATTGATGACCACGATTATCCAGAGAAGAACAAAATTTAATGACACACATCAATGAAAAAAATTAACTAGGGGGCCTAAATGATGTATAAAGGGAAGATCCTCTCCTTCTTACGAATTCGAAAAAAAGTTACATGAAAAAAAAANAAAAAAAAACTGATCAATAGCGAACGCTGTGACAGAATTCCACTCCTTTTTTACCTAATCCTAATGCGGAAGGGTCCAAGTTTCTGAAGAAAGGCTCATGCAGCGATTTGCAGGGGTTAGACGATATATAGACTGGCACCAGTTTTGTTTTTCGAAATCACTCTTAATTCTCAACTCCGCCAATACTAGGAGGGCAATAAAGTGCTGGGTATTCTCTTCCAGAAACTGTATAATTAGGAAAGAGAAATCAAAAAAAACAGACATTCATTTCTAAAAGAAATATCGTATGAAGCTTGTGAATATATGTAGAAATTGGAAGACCAGAGATTATCAGACAATTAGAGAGGCAACGAAAGGAAGAGTAAGAGCGGCGGTATCGCTCAAAGACTAAAAGGCAGGTTTTCGGGCTTATAAAGGAGCAACAAATCTCCTTCCAAGGCCTATTTGCGAAGAAACACAAAAAAACATTGTTTACTAAGGTAACAATTGAAATGATTCAATTGATAGCAGGATTCTTTTAAAAGTTCAGTTCGGTGCTTCAATTACAAAATCCCTTGTAGGTAGCTGAAACCATTGAAAAATCTGAACTACGTATTGGAAAGATGTCAACATATATAAGACTGAGACAAATTGACAAAAAAACAGGAAGCGGAAGGTCCATGATCGATAGCGAACGCTGCGAATCACACGTAACCGATGCGATTATATTAAAACTCGTTTATATTGCGCTATTCAATGATGCATCTGTTAAGCGTTTATGTGTCAAGATTCTCAAATCCTTTCCTCTTTCTCACATTTTCTTGTTCAATAACCAGATCAGCTAAACGATACTTTTCGAAAAAATTGTTGTCTTGCCGGAATTGGCTTTTGAATAGGCCTCGGTAAAGAGAAATCAAACAAAAAAACGATCTAATAGAAAACGAGTTTCAGATTGCTCTTAGATGCGTTTTTTGAAGAATGTGATGAGCATTTTCAAGTTTGGAGAAAACTAAACTAGTTTGGTAGGTGTAGACGACAGCGAAAATAAGTAGGCGAGATTTGCAGAAGTGAAGAAGCTAGACAGAAAAACACCAATTTTTCTATCAGAGATTCAAACAACGGGCTCATTTAGATCCATAACGTATAACATGAACATCAACCCCAAAGAAAAAACAAAAAGTTTGCTATAACTGAAAAAAGAAGGCATTCACAACAGTGGTTTCAGGTATCGTCACCTTGCATTTGTCAAGGAGAAAACTGCGAATTAGTGGTCAATCTAGATGCAGGAATTTCTCTCACAGGACCAAATCGAGAGGTAAGAAATAGTCTCAAAACGAATAAAGACAACTAAACACATACCTCTTCAGTTAATATGGCAACACCCGTTCGAATCTATTCGAGCAACAGGTGACGACGGTGGTAGATTCCTTTGGATCGACTTCGGCCCTCCAAGCGGCGAACAGGTACGAATTACCCCACCCTGGAAAAATGAGAGGTGCTGAGATAAATACATGGCTCGTTGTGGGCCATGGTTGGCAAGACATCACTAAAAACAGGTAGTTCGATGATGTACTCACCAGTGACTAATGTAGAAACGGTTCATAATCAACAGTTTATCATGTAAAACCATAACAGACAACAA